CAGTATTGTATTAACGTTACAGCACGAATCGCGTCCAACTGCTGATAGACTCATTGTAAGCACTGAGGGAAACGCCGTTTAACTCCGACGGCCATTCATATAAATACAGTAGTAGATACTGTATGTTGGTTGGAGATTCATTCAGCAGACAACTAGGTGTGTGTTGAAGCTTGGATAAGCATGGAATAATAATAATACAACACAAAATGTACGTAAACAAAATGTATTGAAACAAGGAAAAGGTACACAATATTTACAGTTAGTTTTGGTATATTCTTGGGAAGACTGTTCCTGTAGAATGGGTTGACTTAATCGCAGTCGGGCAGAGTCTCTCGATTCGATCTCTTCTTACTTCTCCCGTCTTCCGGTACCAACCCATATTTATATGGTCGGTACTCCACTATGTAAATTAGGTGGATCGTACCACAACAGTGTGGTATGCGTGTCATCTGCGCAGTTTCATGATAACAATGACAGTTTAATGACACATAATAGCAGTTTATTAAATGTACGCATAAAGTAAAAGCATAATTAATCTGAAATTATCATTCCTCAGTATTTTAAAGGTTACTGGAAGCATACGATACGTATAAAAACTACATGGTATGATGCGTAATCTACAGTATTAATATTTTATAGGAGTTGGTGTTGAATTTAACATCTTTATCAGTTGATCCGACGAAGTTTTAAATGTCCGCTAATGAATACCACTACAACATACGGCACCTACTCGTGTGTGTTGTAGGCTTGCATTACAACGCAAATACAAGGTGCAAATGGATAAAGTGTCGTTCTATTATGCAAAATTGAAACTAACATTGACATTTGGGCACCTGTCAGCAAGCTTGTCTTGCTAGAACAATTACGACTAAGTAGTGAGTTCGATCCTCACTGGGTGCCCCTTACTTTCGGCCTTGTGCCACATCTGAGCTGCTCTTAGAAAATCACTATATTTACCAAAATTATACAAAAGAATCTTGCAATAATAGAGTAAATTTATTCTAAAAGTCGCATTTGGCTTCAACCACGGCCTCCAGACGAGTTCGAAATCTGTACCTCTACTAGACGGCCTCCTTGCTTACATTGGTGAATGCTGCCATAATTCTTGCCTTCAGTCCATCCTTGGTGTTACAAGGTGTTTTCTCATTCTCATCCTTGGTGTTACAAGGAGTCAATAGTGCCCCACACATGATAATCAAAGGTGTTAGAGTCTGAGGAGTTAGGTGGCCAGATATAAGGGTTTATGTGATCGCAGAAATTGTCTGATAACTATGACTGCGTTCTCCTGCTTGTGCGACATGGTGCAGAGTCCTGTTGCCAGACACAGGGTCATCCAGCCTCGATCCTCTTAACCCAGGGCAGCACTACCTCCTCAAAGTAATTGATGTAGACTTCCATGTTGAGCCTGTGGCCCTGTGGGTAGATGAATGGAATCATAACATCGCCATCACTTGTGATCAAACACAATTATACTGACTGGATATATCACCCAACTCTTTTCGAACCCTCTGTACTGTCCTCAGGTTGACACCCAAACACTCTGAAATGTTTGTATTAGAGCTTCCGGCACGAATGCCAAGTAGTACAGTATGCCGTTTCCAAATTTCTGGCGGAGTAAACTCCGTCACGCTGCTCTTTTTCTCACAGACGGTGCCCAACTGACCCTACTATACTGTGCCGTCGACAAAATCAAAAACAAAAAACGCGCCTGAGTGAAATTAAAAATGTAGTATAACGACAATTTCCATATCGCACCCTGTAAAAAGTTACTACACTCAGTGTCCCAATATACAGGTAAGTGTTGTGGCAGGTTATCGTATAGGGTAAACTTCATTTACTGGTAGGCCCACGTTTAGGACTACTGATAACTTAACGTATGTTTGACGGCCGACCTATACGGTAGGTAAAGGTCTAAAATGTGAGCTAAAAATTTTGTAGACGGCAATTTACGCTAACTTGCTAGACGACAGGTCTACCGAACGCCACCCCCCCAACACACACACACGCATAGCCCGCCTTGTTTATATTTGTGGTCAACCAATATGGTGGATCCCACTTCAGGGAGGGACACAGGAAATGACATCAGGACTCCTTCCGATTCTTGATTTGCATGCTTCCGGTGAGTGGTAACTCCACCATGATAACGCGCCTGCCCCTTCAGCTAAACTTTGGCTGGGATTTGACCAAAGAACAAACACTATATTCACCAGATCTCGTTCCTTAAACCTCAAAAATCGAATCCTACTTGAACGGAACAAGCATTCAAGATGTCGTGGAAAGCCAAGAGAATGCGACGAAGCAGCTGCACGCTCTCCAAAAAAAAAAGGAATTCCAGGAATGATTCAATCAATGGAAACGATGCTAGATTTTCAGAAGTGGATTACTCAGAAAGAGATTAAATGCCGAGTGGATATCTGTTGCAGTTTTTTTTTTTTTTCATAACACCAATCCCGATACTTTTTGATCATCAGCGTATGACGCACTGGCGACGCGATTTTCA